TCTACAGGGCCAGTATCACACAGACAGATTCTCAGGGTCATTGTCACACAGACACCTTCAGAGTCCCAGTGTCACTCAGACAGATTCACAGAGCCAGTGTCACACAGATGGACTCACAGGGCCAGTATCACACTGGCAGATCTACAGTGCCAATGTCACAGAGCCAGACTCATAGGGCCAGTGTCACACAGACAGATTCACAGGGCCAGTGTCGCACAGACACACTTACAGGGCCAGTGTCACACAGATTCACAGGTCCAGTGTCACAGAGCCAAACTGTCACAGCCAGTATCACATAAATAGATACACAGGGCCAGTGTCACACTGGCAGATTCGCAGGGCCAGTCTCACACAGATAGATTCACAGAGCCAGTGTCACAGAGCCAGACTCACAGGGCCAGTGTCACACAGACAGATTCACAGAGCCAGTGTCACTCAGACAGACTCACAGGTCCAGTGTCACACTGGCAGATTCACAGGGCCTTGGTCTCAGGGCCAGTTTTATGAGGTAGTGTCCAAACAAGTCTCAGACACAGTGTCACAGAATTTCACAGCTCTACTGTCATGGATCTCCTATCACTGAGCCAGTGTCACAGAACTAGTTTTGCAGTGTTGATCCCAGTGAGCCAGGTTCACAGCTGTGCTGTCACAAGATCACAGTGTTCCAGAGGCAGTTTAATAGAACTGATACCAAATGACCAGTGTCTTAGAGTCAGTGTCACACAATTACATCCATACAGGTTATGCCGTAGAGCCATGCTGACACGGCCAGCCACAAAATGAATTCATACAGACAGTGTCTCTGAGCCAGTGTCTCAGGCTGGTCTCTCGAGTTGATCCAGATTTGTGAAGCCAGTGTTGTAGATGCAGTGTTTTCTACAGGCATAGAGTTGTAAAAGGATGATAAAGGAAGGGTGGTGTCTTTTCAAGACTATCAAAAGGGGGATCTGCTCATGGCGGCAGGATTTATGGCTGAGGAGGTACCAGGTACGTGTTTTTACCCAGAAAGAATAAGCAGCGAAAGTTATACTGAAAGAGGAGGTCACTGAGCTGCTGGATGGAGTAATCATTGAGAAGGAGAATGTATTAGAAAGGCTAGCTGTGCTTAACGTTAAGTCATCTGGACTGAACAAGAACAAAGAACAAAGAAAATTACAGCACAGGAACAGGCCCTTCGGCCCTCCAAGCCTGCGCCGATCCAAATCCTCTATTTAAACCTGTCGCCTATTTTCCAAGGATCTGTATCCCTCTGCTCCCTGCCCATTCATGTATCTGTCTAGATACATCTTAAATGATGCTATCGTGCCCGCCTCTACCACCTCCGCTGGCAGCGCTTTCCAGGTACCCACCACCCATTGCGTAAAGAATTTTCCACGCATATCTCCCTTAAAGCTTTCTCCTCTCACCTTAAAATCGTGACCCCTAGTAATTGAATCCCCCACCTCTGGGAAAAAGCTTCTTGCTGTCCACCCTGTCTATACCTCTCATGATTTTGTACACCTCAATCAGGACCCCCTCAACCTCCGTTTTTCTAATGTAAATAATCGTAATCTAGTCAACATCTCTTCATAGCTAGTGCCCTCCATACCAGGCAACATCCTGGTGAACCTCCTCTGCACCCTCTCCAAAGCATCCACATCCTTTTGGTAATGTGACGACCAGAACTGTACGCAGTATTCCAAATGTGGTCAAACCAAAGTCCTATACAACTGTAACATGACCTGCCAACTCTTGTACTCAATACCCCACCCGATGAATGAAAGCATGCCGTATGCCTTCTTCACCACTCTATCGACCTGCGTTGCCACCTTCAGGGTACAATGGACCTGAACACCCAGATCTCTGTGTGCATCAATTTTCCCCAGGGCTTTTCCATTTACTGTATAGTTCGCTCTTGAATTGGATTTTCCAAAATGCATCACCTCACATTTGCCTGGATTGAACTCCATCTGCCATTTCTCCGCCCAACTCTCCAATCTATCTATATTCTGCTGCATTCTCCGACAGTCCCCTTCACTATCTGCTACTCCACCAATCTTAGTGTCATCTGCAAACTTGCTAATCAGACCATCTATACCTTCCTCCAGATCATTTATGTATATCACAAACAACAGTGGTCCCAACACGGATCCCTGTGGAATACCACTGGTTACAGTTCTCCATTTTGAGAAACTCCCTTCCACTACAACTCTCTGTCTCCTGTTGCCCAGCCAGTTCTCTATCCATCTAGCTAGTACACCCTGGACCCCATGCGACTTCACTTTCTCCATCAGCCTACCATAGGGAACCTTATCAAACGCCTTCTGAAGTCCATGTATATGACATCTACAGCCCTTGCCTCATCTATCAACTTAGTCACTTCCTCAAAGAATTCTATCAAGTTGGTAAGACATGACCTTCCCTGCACAAAACCATGCTGCCTATCACTAATAAGCCCGTTTTCTTCCAAATGTAAATAGATCCTATCCCTCAGTATCTTCTCCAGCAGCTTCCCCACCACTGATGTCAGGCTCACCAGTCTATAATTGCCTGGATTATCCTTGCTACCCTTCTTAAACAAGGGGACAACATTAGCAATTCTCCAGTCCTCCGGGACCTCACCCGTGCTCAAGGATGCTGCAAAGATATCTGTAAGGCCTCAGCTATTTCCTCTCTCGCTTCCCTCAGTAACCTGGGATAGATCCCATCTGGACCTGGGGACTTGTCCACTCTAACGCCTTTTAGAACACCCAACACTTCCCCCCTCCTTATGCCGACTTGACCTAGAGTAATCAAACATCTATCCATAACCTCAACATCCGTCATGTCCCTCTCCTCGGTGAATACCGACACAAAGTACTCATTAAGAATCTCACTCATTTTCTCTGACTCCTCGCATAACTTCCCTCCTTTATCCTTGAGTGGGCCAACCCTTTCTCTAGTTACCGTCTTGCTCCTTATGTATGAATAAAAGACTTTGGGATTTTCCTGACTGGATCAGGTATATCTAAAAATGCTGAGGGGAAAAGTAGCAGAGGGGCTGGTCGTATTTTTATAGCCTTCCATAAATATAAGGGACTGTATTAGAGAGTATCATAGAGTGACGGTATGTCAGAGGATTGGAGAATTGCAAATGTTGTACCCTGGGTCAAAAAACAGGTGCAAGATCTAGACTCGTCAGTTTAAACTCGGTGGGGAGAAGGTTTTAAAAATTATAATCCAATAAAAAATGGGCATGTGTGGATTCAGTAAGGAAACCCAGCATGAATTATTAATGAAAAGTCAGGCTTATCTGATTTGATGGAATTTGTTGATGAGGTAGCAGAGGGGGCTAATGTCATTGACATGGTGAACAGGGAATTCCAAAGAAGTTTTGATAAGTGTGACTTAAAAGGCTTGTCAGCAAAGTTGAATCCCATCGAATAAAAAGATATGAAGTTGGCTGTGTGCCAGGAAGCTGGTGGTAAATGGTTGTTTTTCAGGTTTTTAGTGTGGCTATTAGGGGTAGGGGTTAGGAGTCCTGTTTTTCTTGATCTGTGTTAATCACGTACACTCGAGTGTGCAGGCTACAAGTTCAAAATTTGCAAATGACTCAGAACCTGTCGAGTGAACTGTCAGGAGGTAAAGAGGAGGACATAGACGGGCTAGTGGGATCGCAGACACACAGCTGATGAACTTTAACACAGAGAAATGTGAAGTGATACATTTTTGGAGAAAGAATGAGGAAGGTAATAGAAAAGTTGCGATTTGAAAGGAAGTTCAGGAACAGAGGGACCTGGTAGGATATGTGTACAAAATGTTGAAGGACAGATAAGTAAATGGTTAGAAACATAAGATCCTGTGGAGTAGATGTGAAGAAGAACCATATTCAGAGACTCCTTGTCACAGACCAGTCATGTAGAGCTAGTTTCACTCAATGAGATTCATGTAGAGAGTGCCTCAGATCCATTGTCACAGAGCCAGTGTCACAGAGTGAGATTCACATAGCCAGTGTCACAGAGTGAGATTCGCATAGCCAATGTCACAGAGCCAGATTCACAGAGCCAGTGTCACAGAGCAGGATTCACAGATCCAGATTCACAGAGCCAGTGTCACAGAGCGAGATTCACATAGCCAATGTCACAGAGCCAGATTCACAGAGCCAGGGTCACAGAGCGAGATTCACAGAGCCAGTGTCACAGAGTGAGATTCACAGAGCCAGATTCACAGAGCCAGATTCACAGAGCCAGTGTCACAGAGCAGGATTCACAGAGACAGATTCACAGATCCAGATTCACAGAGCCAGTGTCACAGAGCAAGATTCACAGAGCCAGTGTCACAGAGCGAGATTCGCAGAGCCAGTGTCACAGAGCGAGATTCACAGAGCCAGTGTCAGAGATCCAGATTCACAAAGCCAATGTCACAGAGCGAGATTCACAGAGCCAGTGTCAGAGATCCAGATTCACAAAGCCAATGTCACAGAGCGAGATTCACAGAGCCAGTGTCACAGAGTCAAATTCACAGAGCCAGTGTCACAGAGCAGGATTCACAGAGACAGATTCACAGAGCCAGTGTCAGAGAGTCAAATTCACAGAGCCAGTGTCACAGAGCAGGATTCACAGAGACAGATTCACAGAGCCAGTGTCACAGAGCGAGATTCACAGAGCCAGTGTCACAGAGTCAGATTCACAGAGCCAGTGTCACAGAGCGAGATTCACAGAGCCAGTGTCACAGAGCAAGATTCACAGAGCCAGTGTCACAGTGTTAGTATCATAGAACCCTTGTCAGGCTGCCAAACACTGAGTGCCAGTGTCACATTGCCAGCTGCAAAACCAGCATCAGAGTGCCAACTGCCCAGAGCCAGTGTCAGAACCAGTACCACAAACTTTCAAATAACGGAGGAGCTATTTTTTTTGCAAGCTCCAGTCATACGTCTGACCCTGAGGAGAAGAGAGGGTTAAATTGCTTACTACACGTCATTTTCAACTGTTTATAATATTCTTCTGTGTCTACATATTTTCTCTGTGCACATTACTCATCAGAATAAAAAAAGGAACTTTGAAAACAGCGACCAACATTCGTATGACAGCAGGCGAGGACCAAAGGTATATTTGCATGTAGACTGCACGAGCCAGCAATCGTAAACTAACGGAGTAGCCAAGTCACAGTCAGAATGACCAATGAGACTGTTCTGGTAGCACGCTGTTAGTTTCAAACAGATTCTTTTGGTTTGTCGATGAGAATGGTTAAAGAATATGAGTCGCCCCCACCTAACCAAATCTTATTATAAGGACACATGCATGTTGAATAAAGACTAACTTGCAAGTTTCTTAAAAGTACATTTTAGAAACAAGCCATGACGTTTCCCCCCTGACTTCACCCCGTTTAAGACTCTTTTTTTCTTTTGAAAGACCGACCAACTCTTTTTCAGGTTGAGATGCATTTTTTTCCTCTCTATTCTACTCTGTCAGATGCACGCACCCTTTTTTTGGTTTTGTTCTATCTTAGTTTGCATGCCCAGTACAGAGAACTCTGTAGCTCACATTGGCTCCACACGGGCCCAATTATCTGATCGCCTTTAAGCTGATCTATGCTGGAGATCAAAGGCGTCGTTGATGGAAAGAGGCCGAAAAGGATGGTTTTGGACAAATCGTTTAGTAATTCTGAATCCCTGCACCAACTACAGGCTGAGAAGGTCCTACAGTTTGAACCAGGCACCACAAACATGACATCAATGCTGCTGGAAGCCAAGGAGTTGGAGGCCAGAGTCATCATCCTATCAGCCAGGTAAGTGACACTGTATCCAATAATAAGTCATTCTGTGTGTCTGTCAAACCCTGACTCCTGTTCCTGAGGAATCTCTTAGCAGCCTGCCCTCAACCCTGACATTCTGGAAACACCCCAGACACTGTCTATATCCAGCTCCGTGACCCTGTGTTCTGTTTATATCTGTCTACCCACCTTTTTCCCCAGAATCTGTCTGTACCTTTTCTCATGTAAATCTGATTACAGCCTCGTTTACTAGTCTGTGGATGTTGTGAATTTTACCTCCATCAGGGTGTTTTACCTGATGCAGAACTGCTTCTGTTGTCTCTCATAATTTAAGAAACTAGTTGTGGATATCACACTTTTGAAGAATTCAACAGATATTTATTACATTACATTCACAGGTACACAAGTGCCTGGGCTAGTATTAAATTATTAGGTTACAACAGGGCAGCATGTCTTTAATAACTTGGCATGTTTCTAGTAATTTAAGGGTAAGATGGAGTGTGTGATCTTTATACCCTCAGGTCACGTGCAGTGATACATTGAGGATATCACAAATATGTCTCTTAAAGGTAAAGTGACTGTGAGGAAGGGTCACCGGACCCAAAATGTTAACTCTGATATTTTCTTCACAGATGCTGCCAGATCAGCTGAGCTTTTCCAACAACTTCTGTTTTGTTACTCGATGGTCTGTATCAGCTGAACGTCTCATGCATATCATGCACATATCCAGCTACATTTCCCCAGAGTCTGTATTTACACAGCTCCGTATCAGCTCCATATAGCGATAAACAGCATGGCTTTGTTGGGGGGAGGTTGTGCCTCACTAACTTGATCAAGTCTTTTGAGGTGACGAAGATGATTGATGAGGGAAATGTGGTTGATGTTGTGTACATGGACTTCAGTAAAGCCTTTGACAAGGTCCCTCATGGCGGACTGCTACAAAAGGTGAAGTTACATGGTACCAGGGGTGAGCTGGCAAGATAGATACAGAACTGGCTTAGTCACAGGAGACAGAGGGTAGTGGTGGAAGGATGCTTTTCAGAATGGAGGGCTGTGACTAGTGGTATTCCAAAGGGATCAGTGCTGGGACACCTGCTGTCCGTGGTCTACATTAATGATTTGGAGGAGAACGTAGCTGGTTTAATTAATAAGTTTGTGTGCAATACAAAGATTGGTGTAGTTGCAGATAGTGAGGAGGATTGTCAGAGGATACAGCAGGATATAGATCAGTTGGAGGTGTTGGCAGAAAAATTGCAGATGGAGTTTAATCTGGACAAATGTGAGGTGATGCATTTTGGAAGGTCAAATACAGGTGGAAATTATATGGTGAATGGCAGAACCCTTAGGAGTATTGATATGCAGAGGAATCTGAGTGTACAGGTCCACAGATCACTGAAGGTAGCAGCGCAGGTAGATAAGATGGTAAAAAATGCTTATGGCACGCTTGCCTTCATTGGAAGGGGCATTGAGTATAAGGATAGACAAGTTATGCTGCAGCTTTATAGAACTTTAGTGAGGCCACACTCTGAATACTGCGTACGGTTCTGGTCACCGCACCACCAGAAAGATGTGGATGCTTTGGAGAGGGTACAGAAAAGGTTCACCAGGATGTTGTCTGGTATGGGGGATTTTAGCTATGAAGAAAGGTTGGATAGACTGGGTTTGTTTTCACTGGAACGCGGGAGGTTGAGGGGTGACCTGATAGAAGTTTATAAGGTTGTGAATGGCATGGATAGAGTGGAAAGTATGAGGCATTTTTCCCAGAGTGGAGGGGTCAATTACTAGGGGATACTGGTTCAAGGTGCACGGGGGAAAGTTTAAAAGAGGTGTGCGAGGCAAGGTTTTCGCACAAAGGGTGGTCACTGCCCTGGAACATGCTGCCAGAGGAGGTGGTGGAAGCGGACACAATGGCAGCATTCAAGAAACACCTGGATGAATACATAAATAGCAAGGGAACAGAGGGATACAGATCCTGTATGTGAAGACAGTTTTTAATATAGAAAGGCAAAATGTGTCGGCACAGGATTGGAGGGCCAAAGGGCCTGTTCCTGTGCTGTATTGTTCTTTGTTCTTCTTTGTTCAGTTAACATCTAACATCTCTCCAGCTCTCTAGAGCTAACATCTCTCCTGAATGTAGAGCTGGATGAACACAGCAGGCCAAGCAGCATCAGAGGTGCAGGAAAGGTGATGTTTCGGGTCAAGACCCTACTTCAGAAATGGGGGAGGGGAAGGAGATTCTGAAATAAGTAGGGAGAGAGGGGGAGGCAGAAAGAAGATGGATAAAGGAGAAGATCGGTGGAGAGGAGACAGACAGGTCAAAGAGGCGGGGTTGGAGCCAGTAAAGGTGAATGTAGGGAGGGGATAGGTCGGTCCAGGGAGGACGGACAGGTCAAGGAGGTGGGATGAGGTTAGTGGGTAGGAGATGGGGGTGGGAGGAATGGTTAGGGAGGCAAGGACGAGCTGGGCTGGTTTTGGGATGTGGTCGTGGGAGGGGAGATTTTGAAGCTTGTGAAGTCCACATTGATACCCTTGGGCTGCACGGTTCCCAAGCGAAATATGAGATGCTGTTCCTGCAGCTTTCCGGTGGCATCATTGTGGCAATGCAGGAGGCCCAGGATGGACATGTCGTCCAAGGAGTGGGAGGGGGAGTTGAAATGGTTCGCAACTGGGAGGTGTAGTTGTTTATTGCGAACCGAGCGTAGGTGTTTCGCAAAGCGGTCCCCAAGCCTCCGCTTGGTTTCCCTGATGTAGAGGAGGCCACAACGGGAACAGCGGATGCAGTATACCACATTAGCAGAAGTGCAGGTGAACATCTGTTTGATGTGGAAGGTCTTCTTAGGGTCTGGGATGGGGGTGAGGGGGGAGGTGTAGGGGCAAGTGTAGCACTCGCTCCAGTTGCAGGGAAAAGTGTCGGGGGTGGTGGGGCTGGAGGGGAGTGTGGAGCGGACAAGGGAGTCACGGAGAGAGTGGTCCCTCCGGAAAGCAGATAAGGGTGGGGAGGGAAAAATGTCTTTGGTGGTTGGGTCGGATTGCAGATGGCGGAATTGTCGGAGGATGATGCGTTGGATCCGGAGGTTAGTGGGGTGGTACGTGAGGATGAGGGGGATTCTGTTTTGGTTCTTATTGCGGGGAGGGGGTGTGAGGGATGAGTTGCGGGAAATGCAAGAGACACGGTCGAGGCCATTCTCAACCACTGAGGGGGGGAGGTTGTGGTCCTTGAAAAACGAGGACATCTGGGATGTCAGGGAGAGGAATGCCTCATCTCGGGAGCAGATGCAGCGCAGGCAAAGGAATTGGGAATAGGGGATGGCATCTTTGCAGGAAGGTGGGTGAGAAGAGGTGTAGCCACCTTCGGAGCACCCCATGGTTTCCACGGATGACGTCACATCCGCCGCCGCCCGGTACGCCACTTCTGGTACAGGCAATGCCATCGACCCTGCTGCTGATGCCGCCACCTCCATTTCCGAGGCCAACACAGACATCAAGGTCGCCACTGCCACCAACATCCAAGATTTACCAGCCTACGTCGCTCCGCCCACCGCTGATGTCGCTCCGCCTACCGCCGACATCGCTCCGCCCACCACCTCCACAGCCAGCAGCTCCAGAGGAGACTGTAGCACCCAGCCCTGCCGGGTCTTCACCATCCCCCCAGACCTCCCCCTTACTGAGGACGAACGGTCAGTCCTCAGTAAAGGGCTCACCTTTGTCCCCCTCCACCCACACATCAATGAATACAACTCATGTTTGGACATTGAACAGTTTTCCTGCTGCCTCCACCTCCGCGCTTACGTCTTTAACCGTGAGCCTAACCCTCCCTCTACTGACCCCTTCTCCTGCCTCCAACACACCCCCTTCTCCTGGACACCACCCCAAGGCCTCCTCCCCTCCTTCGACCTCTTCATCTCCAACTGCTGTCGAGACATCAATCGCCTCAACCTCTCCACCCCCTCACCCATTCTACCCTCTCCCCCGCAGAACGTGCAGCCCTCCGCTCCCTCCGCTCCAATCCCAAACTCACCATAAAACCCGCGGACAAGGGAGGCACAGGCGCACTGACCTCTACATCGCCGAGGCCTGGTGCCAACTCTCCGACACCTCCTCCTACCGCCCCCTTGATCATGACCCCACCCCCGACCACCAAACCATCATCTCCCAAACCATCCACAACCTCACCACTTCAGGTGATCTCCCACTCACAGCCTCCAACCTCATTGTTCCCCAACCCCGCACCGCCCGCCTCTATCTCCTTCCCAAAATCCACAAACGCGACTGCCCTGGTTGACCCATTGTCTCCGCCTGCTCCTGTCCCACCGAACTTATCTCCACCTATCTCGTCTCCATTTTCTCCCCCTTGGTCCAGGAACTCCCTACCTACGTCCATGACACCACCCACGCCCTCCAGCTCCTCCAAAACTTCCAATTCCCTGGTCCCCAACACCTCATCTTTACCATGGATGTCCAGTCCCTATACACCTGCATTCCCCATGCAGATAGCCTAAAGGCCCTCCGCTTCTTCCTGTCCTGCAGGCCCGACCAGTCCCCCTCCACTGACACCCTCATCCGCTTAGCCGAACTCGTCCTCACCCTCAACAACTTCTCTTTCAATTCCTCCCACTTCCTACAGACAAAGGGGGTGGCCATGGGTACCCGCATGGGCCCAGGCTATGCCTGCCTCTTTGTAGGATACATGGAACAATCCCTCTTCCGGAGCTACACTGTCCCTATCCCCCACCTCTTCCTCCGTTACATCGATGACTGTATTGGCGCCGCCTCGTGCTCCCACGAGGAGCTCAAACAGTTCATCCACTTCACTAACACCTTCCATCCCAACCTTAAGTTCACCTGGACCATCTCTGATACCTCTCTCCCCTTCCTGGACCTCTCTGTCTCCATCTCTAGCATTCACCTGGAAACCGATATCCATTTCAAGCCTACCAACTCCCACAGCTACCTAGAATACACCTCCTCTCACCCACCTTCCTGAAAAAAGGCCATCCCCTATTCCCAATTCCTTT